TCCATTGGACCTCCGTATTCGGTTTGCTGTCGCATTTGTGAGTTCGCTGTTTGAGTACGAGTTATCTGCTCATGATATCGTACACTCGGCAACCCACGTACCCAATCCAACTTACGCACCTACATACGTACGGCAATATTGCACAATGTTTGGTTTTCCTCCCCCCTTTCATGAGAAGAAAATTTCCCCGCATCTCCCCCGCCAGGCGAGGAGGTGGTGGCACGCGCCGCGTACTGCGCTGCCGTACTCGCCGACCCCGGTGCTGATGAGCCGCCCTCCGCCGCCACCACCGCTGGGGCATCATCTGTCGCGGGTACGACAGCTGTAGCAGTCGGGCCTAGTACAACCGGAGCAATGACCCCTGGGTCGGCAAATACGACAGGGCAAGGCGGTGACGGTACTGGTGACCCACGGGTCGCGTTGGCGGCTGCGGGACTTGTACCGCCCCTTGTTCGATGTCTACGGCATCCGAACCCGGATGTTGCGGCGCGGGGTGTGGCGGCGCTGGAGGTGGGGGGGTGTCCCGATGGGTAGGGGGCTTGGAGGGTGTGTGTGGGTTTAAGGCGGTTTTAGGGTTTGGCGGAAATTGGCTAAAGAGTTGTTGTTGATTGTTTGTAAAGATGAAGTCGAAGGAGCTGCATCAAAATGCAGGCGGCTGTGGGGCCATTGCCTTGGGGTGGGGGTGGGGGTGCTGGGGGTCTGTGGCCATGGGGCATTTTCTGGTGCCAATCATGCTTTGCCTGCTTGCGTTGTTGGTATTTCCTTTTTTTGGAAATTTATTTTCCAACATCTCACACAGGTTAACTTAAAGGGGTTCGACAGGAGCACAAATATCTTTGGGGTTCCGGTTAGTTAGGAGTTGTTGGGTGACTGTTGGTTATTTATTTATTTATGCGCCACGTCACCATCACCATCGCCAGCCCATCTAGCGAATTTATTACCATCAAGACCGGGTTATGGCCCCCGTACGGCACCCCCCGCAACCCCCCACCCCGCACTCAGGCTCTGGTCAGAGGTCACCGAGCCAACGCCCTCCTCGTCGTATCCGCGGGGGGAGTGGCGCAGCTGGCGGCACTCATGGACAGGACGGCCGCAGCCGCAGCCGCAGCGGCGGCGGCGGCGGCGGCGACCGCAGCTGACGCGGCGGCGGCCACGGCGGCGGCTGCCGCCGCCGCATCTGGCGGCGGCGGCGGCTCCGCTGGCGGCAGCTTGACGGCGCCTTCCCTGGCCCGCTCTTCGGCTGCAGGTGCGGTGGCAGCGGCGGCAGCCAGTCAGTCGCCGCCGGCGATTACGGAGGCGCAACAAGCCGTACTGTGGCGGCGGTGTGTCGACTTGTGGTTGGCGTTGGGGGGCCCTGGAGCTCTTGTTCGACTGCTCGGACACAAGGTACGGAAATCAAAATGATGAGGATTTTTTTACAGACAGACAGATAAATTGTCCAAGCTGCCAGCCACGCAAACTAATTACCAACTAATACCCAACTGCCGCGTTAACCTCGTTTCGTGCCGTACAGGCTCCCGCCGTGGTGGAGCGAGCCGCCGCTTTAATTCGCGGGATCGCAGAGGGCGATGACCAGGAAGCCAAGTAAGTACTGCTGTTTGCCGTACGTTCCTTGTACGAACTAGAAATACTGTACGGCTTGGGAAGATATGCATAAAAGGACAATGATATTCACACTTACAGAGTTCCCGCTCGCCTCTCCAATATATCCTATATTCATATACATAAATGTAAAAATAGATGCATATTTATAAAAACGCACCTTCGTGCTCGCATGTTCGTACGTTTGCCGTACGCAGGACCCGCCTCCGTCGCGCCGCCGTCGCCGCGCCGCTCCTCCTCGCGTGCCGTCACCGTCAACTGGCTGTGGTAGAGTCTGCACTCCGGGCCGTGGAGTCGCTCGCGCTGCTGTCCCCGCAGACTCCCGGGCGGCTGGGGCCCGGTAGTGGTAGCAGTCGTGGTGGTAGTGCTGCTGCTGCTGCTGCTGCTGCTGCTGCCGGCGGCGCAAGTGGAGATGGCGGCGGGGGGGGTAGCAGCTTCCGGGCACAGTTTGTGGAAGCGGGGGCGCTGGGGGTGTTGCAGGCGCTGCAGGTGGGTCGGGGTCTGCGGGGTGCGGTAACGGGGTTGGGGGTTGATGTCCCCCTGCTGGTGGGTTTTGCCGTACAGATTGCTGTACCGCACCGGCCGTACCCTTTTGCAGTACGCTACCGTACCCCCCCCCAATATTCCCCCAAACACAACCTTTTCCCCAACGGACTTCAACGGACCCCCTCCCCTCACCCCCTCCCCAAACCCCTCCCCCCCCCTACGTCCCCCCCCCTCCGCCAGGGCCACAAGAGGGTCGCAATCGCCCGCCTCGCGTCTCAAGTAGCTC